TAATAGAGAGGTTGAGGCGCACGTTTTAAACGTGTAAACGTGTACGTGTGACGTTCGGCGCCGCTTTCCCGTAAGCCTAAAAGTTTGACAATGGTGTTTGGATAGTCGGTGGAATCACGCTCGACATTCCAAACACCATCGTCAAACTTTTAGGCTTACGGGAAAGCGGCGCCGAACGTCACACGTACACGTTTACACGTTTAAAACGTGCGCCTCAACCTCTCTAATAGTTTTATCTTCTACTAGATTTTTTCTCCTCTAATGAAATTAAAACTAGTTATATTTTGTTAAACTTAATATTTTAATAATCTTAATAATTGTACTTTTTACATTATAAAGTGCAGAAAGTCCAGTACTAGAAAGTAGCTAGTTCTAATAAAAGTTTTTGTTTTTAAAAATTCTGGTCTTTTGTTCTGCATAATTAGAACATATTCCAATACATTGGTCACTTGAATTAGAATAAAATATATTCTAGTAATATGTATGCAAAACAATACTTCTTTACACTAAACCGAGAATCCAACCTAAAAGAATTCCTTTCAGACTTAATTTAAATCTTGATTTAATTTGACTTGATTCAGACTTAATTTAAATGTCAAATTAGACTTAATTTAAATCTTTATATAAATATAATAATTTCATAACTTATAATGCTATTATTATACAGTAGTTTGTAAATTTGAATTAAGATTAAATGGCTGAAAAGATTTATAGCAAACGACTGCAGTAACTTTTTAATTGAAAATATGAGATGCAATCAAAAAGAAACTAGATTTGATCTATAAAGATTCTAATACTTCTATACTTTTAATACTAATTTAAATCTAGCTATCATCACCTTCATTTTAGTAGTAGTCTCTGCATTTATTTGGCAATTTGCTTCTGCCAAGCCTCAAACATTCCTTGAAAATAATTGTTTCAAAAATACCAAAGCACCTATTGTGATTTGGACTGAATTTCCTTGACCATATCAAAATGCCATCTCTTAAGCTTCAAGAATGGAGATCAAGAATGAAATTGAAATCCTAAATCTAGCAAGTAAGGAGGGTGGGAAGACTGTTATGTTGTGTTATGCCCTTAGATACTTGACTATCAGCCTGCCAAGAGGCAGATTGACAGCCATGTAGCTAAGAAGTGCATGATCTTTCATGGCAAAAAGACTGTACTTTATGCTATCACTAAACAGCATGAACAATTCTGTTTCTTTTTGATTGCAACGTACATATAAAACAAAATCTTCTGTCATAGTCAGCTCCATCTGCAATATGAAAAAACATACACAAAAGATAAAAGTTTAAGGAGTCTGAAAATTTAATAAAATAAAACATTTCTTCAGACTAAATTTGTCTGATCATCAGGCTGACAACAAAAGCATCAATATTTATAAACAAAAAATGTGCTACACTTTTAAAAACTTAATAAAATAAATTAAAAATGAACAAAAACAATAAATATATATTATTAATTAATTATTCTACTGAGATTCAGAGCATAAGTAATTCTCTTATTTCTTTCATGATTCATACACCAAAAAGCTTTTTGGTGCAATATTCGATGCCAAATTTCAATTGCCTGGAATCACAGTGACTAAATTAACAATGCAAGTATTTGTAATATAATTTACTCATACTGTATTATATTATAAATACTTGCATTGTTAATTTAGTCACTGTGATTACAGACAATTGAAATTTGACATGGACTATTGCAGCAAAAAATTTTTTAGTTTATGAATCATGAAAGAAATAAGAATTATTAATTAATATGTATATATAGTAATTTTTTGTTTTAAAAATAAAATAAAACTTCATTTTTTTATTTAATTTTTTTGATCATAAAATGTATTATTAATAATAATAATAATAATAATAATAATTTTATATTATCTCAATATCCCATTTTATATTCTTTCAAATTTAGAAGATCATATATTTAGCTTGTACAGTAAGTATATATATTCTTGAAATATTATATAGTACAAACTTTAGCAGCTCTATATAAAAAAATTTTAAATTTGGAAAAATATTAAGATATGATTTTTATAGTATAAAACTTATAATCAAAATTCAAATTTTAATCAACTTAAATCTAATTTCAACCATATTACCATGCTATTTTCAGATCAAATTCATTAGTTTATTCTTAATACAATGGTGTCTTTACTTATGAGTTTAATTTGTTCAGTGACAAAACTCTTAACTCAAATTACTTGCGTGTCAAATCAATTCCTCCCATTGAAATGCTATTAATCCATTCCAGACTCTCCAAAACACGCAATCTTTTTGTTATGTTTTTAAATAACAAATATTGTATAAGAACACAATAAAATGTACTGCAATAAACTGGTTTTGCAGATGTTGTGGCATTCGCCACATAGATAAAGAAAGAAAAGATGGAAAATTTGATAAATGAGTGACAGTAACGCTACACAACATGAAAGTGAACTAATGCCTAAAAACTTGATTACATGTTTTTCTATAAGCTAGCCTGTCAGACATTGGAAGAGTAACAAAAATGACAAAATTACAGCAGTTTTCCATCTTCTTTTTCTTAATATGTGGTTTGTTGCACCAACTAGCAGTGGGGTATCTGAAGCTGGTTTGTAACTAGGGTTTCTCATTTCCCGGGAAATTTGCCTCCAGCGGGATTACGGGACAAATTATTTCTTTTCCCGGGATCCCGGGAAATTCCGGGATGAGATAGTAAAATAGAATTTTATATGAATAAAAAAGATCATACAGGAATATCATAAANCCCGAAAAATTCCTGGGGTTTTTTTGGCTAACCAAAATTTGATTCTTGATCCTAGAGCGGTAGGCTGCCATCTTAATCTGGCCATCAGACGGTATTCGAGACGTCTGGTCACTAACCTTAAGTTTAAATTCGGCCCTGATGCTAAATCTTAATTTAAAACATAAAATGGCATTGATTATATTTATAAAATTATTTTATTAATTAATTTATAAATATATTTATAGACTCATAAGCGAATTAGATCTGAAAATAATGAAATTTACTAAATACGGAAAGGAATTCATCAAAAGGAGAAACCTCAATCCTGATGTTTATATTGAAATATGCATACAAATGGCTTATTTTAGGTCGGTTTTTTAATATCCTTTTATATTTTCTAAGTTCATATTAACTAATTATTTTACGTAAAGATTATATAAAACGTTAACATCAACATATCAAGCCGCTTCGTTACGCAAATTTAGATATGGAAGATTTGATAATATTCGTGTTTCCAGCGAAGATTTAATGAATTTTTTCGAGATTTTTTATGATGAAACTGTCAAAAAGGTAAAAAATATAATCAATTTTTTTTCTTGGATGATGTTGCCTGGGATCTGGAGCTTTAAGGCCTCAGACACGTGTAGATATATACTGTACTTTTTGATACGCAGTAAGTACTAGGAAGGTAAAAAAAACACCACGGTTTGCTCTGGGGGATGATGAATCAGTGAGTCATTCAGTCAGTCAGGACAAGCAATTTTATATGTATAGATGAACTAACAAGTAGAGACTTGTAAAGCATAGGTAATAATATTCAGCAAGAAACCTCAAAATTTCTCTTTTAGGTGAGTCTTCAAGATGCAACTTTTTGTATAATAAATAATGGAAAGAAAACCTGACATGGTAAATTATTATTGAAATGCGAGATTTCCCGGGAAAATAAAATTTCCCGGGATTTTTCTCCTAGGGAATAAACGGCGAGAATCCCGGGAAAATGGGATCCCGGGAAAGAAACCCTATTTGTAACCTGAATTTTAGCTCTCAACTGAAATCAATAAATCAGCCAAGAGACAGCTTGTATCTTGAAAAACTCATAAGTTGGAATACTTGTAAGTCAAGGTACCACTGTATAAAAATTGATTTAATGATTAAAATATTTTAATACAAGATGGCAATCTGATCATCTACTTTTAAATAAAATGCATTAGTTTAATCATGAATCTGGTGTAAAAGTAGATGATAAAAGTAGTAAAAAATATATCAAATTATTGATATATAAAATTCCATCAAACTTAACATTTATATCTTAAATACTTTTTAATGGCATCAGTATTATTGTGTACTTTAATATTTTAGATTAAATGCTTCATATTAATAATTTAATAGAACAATGACAACAGAGTTCATCAAATTTCATATTTATTCCAATGCAATTGCAATAAATGTGAAATTTGATGAAATAAAAGACATAAATCAGAGGATGAGTGTCTAAAAGAAATATTTATCTTATTACTCAGTAATAAATATTTAAAATATACAAACATTATTGGAAAATGTTTAAACTAAAACCTGAAATTCTACCTAACATGTGGAAGTTTGTTTTGAAACAATAGCTGAAGAAATACTAACCATCTAAAATATATGTATTTTTATTACATTAATTATTGTTATCATTAAATAAATTCCATTGATATGTTTAGACATATAACTGTTAACCAAATGATAAAGCTAAATTAACTATTGGCTAGAACTTTGCTGATTAATTTCATAGATACTATGTAATTTGAACTAAAGGTAGGTGGTTAAAGCCATCAACTTGTATTAAATTTAATACTGTATAATTTAATTCTAAATTAAATTTATTGTATTAAATTAAATAATTTAGACCAGGAGTGTCCAACCTTTTTGTTTCTCTGGGCCGCATTGAAAGAAGTCAAGGAGTTTTGGGCCATAAGTTTATATAATATATACTTGTGACCCAATATACATGTATATTTAAGGATTAACATGTCTAGATTATAATAATAAATATTAAAACTTTATTACGAAAAAGGATATTTTAAAAAAATTACTTTTACAGACACTTTCAATTTTTACTTAGAAATAGAAAAATTCATTTATTATAAAAGAAATGAAAATTTATTTGGAAAACACAAATATTTGTTTTATTTGGGTCTCTAATAAAAAGCGACCAAACACCATTTTAAAGTACATTTTTATTCAAGTAATATATTTATAAATAATATGTAGCCCAAAAAGTAGCCAATGCGCCAAATAATATTTTTTACGTCAAACAAAAAAAGTAGCCACATTTGGCGCAATGTAGCCAAATCTTGCAACGTTGGAAGAAATACTAATTAAAGCTGGAGTTGTGATTCAAAGAATTATAGACCCAAATGAGGGGGAAAGGAGAGAAAGGACAAAAGATAAAGAAGTGAGAACAGTTGGAAAATTAAGGGTCAATATTTGCATAACAGAAGATCTATTTAACCTTTCTCACTACTTTTTATCTTTTGTCCTTTCTCACCTTTCCCTCCTTTTCCCAAATTTTGGTCTATAATCCTTTGAGTCACAACTCCAGCTTTATTTAGTAATCCTTCCTCATTCACATTTAATAATTTTTCCTCATTCAAGTATTTGAAAATATTTCCTTTTTACTCAAAAATATGAATAAAGGTTTACGACTTTGTGAAACTTCTTTTTTGAGTTTATGCAGTTGAAATAAATAAATAATAATAAAATTAAAACAGTTGTCGGATTTGTTTACACGTTTATTGGGCCGCATTGGAACTTGCCTTGGGCCGCATGCGGCCTGCGGGCTGAAAACCCCTGATTTAGACTATTCTAGAAGAAAGTAAGATTAAAAGTAAGTGGCGTAACCACCTATTTTTAGTCCAAATACTTAGTACTTATGAAATTAGTTAATCTATTCTTGTTTCTTCTAATTCAATGTCATGACTTGGTGCATTTATCGACACTTGGCAAATAATTTCGTCATCCACTTTTAATTCATACAGATACGCGTTTCGGGCTTTCGTCCCTCTTCAGTCTGTTACATAGATAGGTTATATCTTGTGTATACAGTATCTGTCAGGCACATTCCATACTTCCCACTCCCCTTACCGTCCCTCGCCCCCCGACTTGACGGCCTCCTCCGCATGCCTCGTAACTTGTAATGTCTCACTCCAAGTGCCACACACAGCCTTGCCTGCAACTGTATCAACATTCTATCTTAATTGTAGCCAGTTTTTATGAATGTCAATGCTTAAGATTCTTGTTGATATTATTTTTGTCTGTAGTAATTTCATAGCTTTCCTTAAATTTTCTTTTGTACCAATTTTTTTTCCTGTGTACTATTATAACTTCATTCTTATCTATTTTGCAGTTTTGGGTTGTGCAATGTTCATAAAAAAACAGAGTTGACTCTATTATATTTCAAATCCGTGATGTGTTCTTTTAATCTTGTTTCTAATTTTTGTTTTGTTTCTCCAATGTATACTTTTGGCGGTTCGCATGTGCAAGGTATTCTATAGATGATTTCGATAGTGTTGTATTTGTCTGGTTGTTTATTTATGCCAGGTTCAGCCTTCCAGATTTTTTTTTGCAAGTTGTTATAGGTTGGGGCTAGCTTTATATTTATTTTATCAAAACTTTTGTTTACCTGTTCAAAGAAGCCACGAATGTAGAGGAAGGATATGTATCTTACTCTGTTTTTATCTTTGTTTTGTTTATTTTCCAGCCTTTTATTGTTGATTTTACTTTCCCAGTTATTTATTATTTGTTTTGGATAGCCATTTAATAGAAATTTAGTTCGCAGCTTGTTGAGATGTTTTTACTTCTTCTGTAGTGAGCTTGTTCTACTCTCAATTTTTTTATACTCCATGATGAATATGTTTTCTTTTATGCACTGTGGAATGTTTGAATTGTAGTTTAACACTTTCCTGATCTCGCATGGTTTTGTGTATGGCTTGAATTCAATCTTGTTTGCCTTTTTGGTTATTTTAATGTCGAGGTAATTTATTTCCGTGTTTGCTTCATTTTCTATCTTGAATTTGATGTTATCGTTTAATTTGTTTATTTTTTTCTTCTATAAGTCTAAGTCGTGACATTGAATTAGAAGAAACAAGAAGAAGAAGACACGGTTTCAACCAATAAATAATCTATTCTTATCGTTTGATCACTAGAATATTTCAGGCATGGAAAACAGTTGTAGGTAAATACAAACAACTGTGTTCCATATTTTTAATTTAAACATGTATGTACTTCTGTTGTATTATTTTGTTTGATTAAAATATACTAGCATTTTTTAAAATTTTTGTAGTGAAAATTTGAAGAGAATATTTAACGTATACAAAGCATTTCTTAAATATACATTATTGGAATAATATTTGTAATATTTGTACTTATTCTATTTGAATTCTGTTGATCTGTTCAAGCAATGGCAAATAATACAATGCATTTTTATTAACATATCAAATTTTAATTGTTTCATTTAGCATAAAGAAACAAAAACAAAATTATCAAATTTTCATTTTTATTGATATGAAAGATGCTAAACGAAA